GTGATAGTTTGGAAGCAGGAAGATTGTGAGTTAATTGCACAGAAGGGCTACGTGTCCTGGACCATGAAGAAAGGCAGGCTTGTGGCTTATCTGCTTCTTCTTCTTTTTTTTTTTTTTTTTGCTTTCTCCTCCTCCCACCAGCCTGACTCCTTTCCTGTAATTAGGACTGTACATTAGCCAATCAATATATCTGGCATTCCATCATTTCCCTATAGCCAGAGGCCTTCTGAGTGCTCCTTTAGTGTGCCCCATTCACAGCTCTATGGTGCTTATATCATGGGGAGCACTCAGCCTCCCAGCAAGAAGGGTGTAGCTGGGAAGAACATATGCTTGGGGCAGTGGGGCAGCTACAGCAGCAATCCAAGCTCTCCACTGGCTTCATCTCTGTATTGGTCTGTTTTCATGCTGCTGATGAAGACACATCTGAGACTGGGTAATTTATAACGAAAATGAGGTTTAATGGACTCACAGTACCATGTGGCTGGGGAGGCCTCACAATCATGGCAGAGGCATGTTTTACATGGCAGCAGGCAAGAGATAATGAGAGCCAAGCCAAAAGGGAAACCCCTTATAAAACCATTAGCTCTTGTGAGACTTATTCACTACCACGAGAACAATATGGGGGAAACTGCCCCCATGATTGAATTATCTCCCATCGGGTCCCTCCCACAACATGTGGGAATTATGGGAGCTACAAATCAAGATGAGATTTGGGTGGGGACAAAGCCAAACCATTTGAATCTCCATCCTTCATCTCAAAGATACCACCCACCAATGGCTTCCCACTTTTCTCTCCAAAGAACAAATGTGCAGAAAAAGCTCTTAGCATTTAAGCAGTGCAACTCCTAAAGCAGGTGCAGGGAGCTGTGGATGTCTTTTGGGAGAGGAGAGGCAATGGACATGGCTAGAATCAAGAGGACTCCATCGTGATTAAATAGCATTCATTGAAGGTGAACTTGTGGGATGCACCTTGGGGTACAAAGAGATTTCAGAATTCATCTCTATTTCTAGAGGCAAACACCTAAGCAGAGGAACTAAGACATACACACTTGAACAACTAATAATCAATGGGTGTTTTAGTTAATTTTTTTTGGAGTTTCTTATTACATTTCTCTCCAAAAGATATCTTGGGAATTTCTTTCTTTCTTTTTTTTTTTTTTTGAGACCAAGTTTCACTCTTGTTACCCAGGCTGGAATCCATGGCATGATCTCGGCTCACCACAACCTCCACCTCCTAGGTTCAAGCAATTCTCCTGCCTCAGCCTCCCGAGTAGCTGGGATTACAGGCATGTACTACCACGTCATGTGTAGTAGAGATGGGGTTTCTCCATGTTGGTCAGACTGGTCTCGAACTCCTGACCTCAGGTGATCCATCTGCCTTGGCCTCCTAAAGTGCTGCGATTACAGGTGTGAGCCACTGCGCCTGGCTGGGAGTTTCTTACAGGGATATGATTACAGCCTAGTTCCAAATTGTCTCACATTTCCTTCTTAAAAAAAAAAAACAAAACACCATAGGAACTGTAATTGTCAGTGAAACTAGGACTAGAGAATATCTACAAACTCCAACTTATGTATCTGTGGCCCCAGCTACCCCAATCCAGCAGAACCAGTTTGGGAAGCCACAGCTGGGGGACTGGCTTGGTGGGCACAGTAAGGCAGATTAGAGAACATATAGGGGTTCCAGTGGTAGCAAACTTCAAATTATTAGCAAATATCTACCTTTAGGTGCCTGAGAAGGACTCACCCTGAGAGGGAATGGCTGTGAATGTGATAGAGAACAAACATGGTGGGATGTGTGTTGGGGAGGAGTAGAAGACATGGAAAGTGCATTGGGGCCTGTAGAGGGAAAGATTTAAGAATCAGTATGACCATTTTAGTTATTTTGGCTTAGAATTAGAATAGGCCAGTAGTCCATGACTCACCTCTCTCACCTTCTCACCCAAATTCCTATAAATAAGCAGAAAATAATGGAAATTCATGCCACCAGTGAAAGCTAGGATTGATGATAGATTTATTGCCAGAATTAAAGGCCTATAAAACTGGTCAAATAAAAAAATTCAATGAAAATCAAATCTGCAAAGATTGGAAACCAGTCTTAGCCAATTTTGATGAGTTGAGCACTCTCATATACATTTGATGGGAATATAAATTGGCAAAACTTTCTGGAAAGCATTTTATGATCGTATGCATTAATAGGTTTAAAAATATTTATACCTGGTGGCCCAGGAGTTGAATTTTAGGAATGTATTCTAAGGAAATAACCAGGGATGAGGTCAAGTATTTATATATAAGAATGCTTGTTCCCAGTTATTTATAATAGCAAAAATAAAAGAGTATATTTTAGATTCTTTTGCTCACATTGAAATAAATTTTAAAAGTACAGTATACTCATAGGACAGAATATTATATAGGCATTAAAAATGTAATGTAAGTGTCCTATTTGAAAGAAGTAAAGATATATAAATAAAGAAGGCTGGAGAAATCCTGCAACTGATAACATGGCAGACTAAATATTTGGGTTGATTCTTCTGCCAAAAACAACAGAAACGATAAAGAAATTATAAAATCTAAAAGTATCAGAGCAATAACAGAATAGTAATGAATTATAACATCAAAGTAAAGAATAATCCCTAGAGAAATCATCTTGCAGATATTTGATTTTTTTTTTTTTTTGAGATGGAGTCTCACTCTGTCGCCAGGCTGGAGTGCAGTGGTGTGATTTTAGCTCATTGCAACCTCCACCTTCCAGGTTCAAGCAATTCTCCTGCCTCAGCCTCTGGAGTAGCTGGGACTACAGGCTTGCACCCCCAAGCCTGGCTAATTTTGCATTTTTAGTAGAGATGGGATTTTACCATGTTGGCCAGAATGGTCTTGATCTCTTAACCTCGTGATCTGCCCACCTCTTCCTCCCAAAGTGCTGGGATTACAGGTGTGAGCCACTGCCCCAGGCCTGAGATTTGATTTTTTTAAATCTATGCCTAGACTTTACTCAAGGAAGGACATCTGATAGAATAGCTTTCCCCAATAAACCAAGGACTGCAAATAACTATCAGAAGAGATCGGGTGTGTTCAGGGTGGTCTGGCCATAGACAAGGGCTGGGCTATCACGTAAAGGTGAGAGATAAGTCACCCATCCCATGCCCTTACCACCAGGCATCAGCAAGGAAATCTGTCATAATGCCGAATTGAACAACCACAAAGCCATTGTTGAGAAGTCGCAACCCCAAATCACCCCTCAATATTTGCAGCCCAGGCCAGGCACGGAGGCTAACGCCTGTAATCCCAGCACTTTGGGAGGCTGAGGCGGGCAGATTGTTTGAGCTCAGGAGTTTTTGACCAGCCTGGGCAACATGATGAAACCCAGTCTCTACTAAAAAAATACAAAAAATTAGCCAGTCGTGGTGGCATTTGCTTGTAGTCCTAGCTACTTGGGAGGCTGAGGCAAGAGAATTGCCTGAACCCAGGAGGCAGAAAGGTTCCAGTGAGCCGAGATTGCACCACTGCACTCCAGCTTGGCAACAGAGCGAGACTCCCTCTCAAAAAAGAAAAAAACAATTGCAGCCAAAATTCATATTACTATTTTAGAATGGTTGAAAAATCCTCAAATTATACATTTAGTTTACTATGACCTTGGACTGGTGATGCTGGCAAGAAAAAAATTTACATGGAAGAAAAAAAAATCAACCCTCTCTAGATCAATTCACTTCATCCTGGAACTCAAAGAAGTTTCACGAAAATGTTTCCGAGGTAAATGAGCAGTCTACAGTCAAATAAAAACAGACACACAAGAAAACAAGGTACCATGGTATGCTCGAGGAAGCTATGTTTGAAGAATGCCCCCAGTTAATGTTCTGGAGACACCATTTAATGTTCTGGGGACATAATGTCCTGGGGACATTATTTAATGCTTTAGGGACATTATATAATGTCCCCAGAGCTCATAAATCAACAAGAAAGAGATAAACAGCTTAACAGAAACACAAAGAAAAGCCAGTTCACAGAAAAGGGAAGGCAAGAAGTTAATGAAAGTAGGAATAACGCCTGACCTCACTCATCATGAAGAACATGCAAATTGAAAAACAAGGTAACATTTACTTCACCTGTCAACTGGCAAAGATTAAAGCTGGGTAACAGCGGAGCTGATGAGATATGGGAAATGGAGGCTGTCGGGCACTACTGGTGGAAATGGCACCATCAAAAACAGTGGAAATACCAGATAACAGAAACAGATCTGAGGGGACTTCAGATCTCAGAATTATCAGGCTCAACTATATTTACTATGTATAAAGAAAGCTTAACTATATCGTAAAATTCTTTTTTTTAAAAGATCAATCTATAATATTTGGAAAAAATCAAACAGAAATTCTAGAAATGAAAAGTATATTAATTAAAACAAAAATATGGGCAGCCCAGTGGGGAGGATTGCTTGAGGCCAGGAGTTTAAGACCAGCCTGGGCAATGTAGTGAGACCCTGTCCCTAGGAAACATTAAAAAAAAATTAGCTGAGTGTGGTGGCTCCTGCCTGTAGTCCCAGCTATCTGGGAAGCTGAGGTGGGAGGATTGCTTGAGCCTAGGAGTTGGAGGCTGTAGTGAGCTATGATTGTACCACTGTACTGTGGCCTGGGTGACAGAGCAAGACCTTGTCTCTTAAAAAAAGTATGGATTTTGTAGCGTATTAGAAACAACTGAAAAGTAGGTTATAAAAAAAAACGCTGAAGACATGAACCCAAGTCAAATATGGGCAGACAAGAAATATACGAAAGTGGGACAAAGACATGGAGGATAGAGTGAGATGATCTAACACCTATCTTATGTTATATTCCAGACGGAATTTATTTATTCTCTCTCTATATATTTTTTAGCAAATACTGTACCAGACACTTTGCGAAGTGCTGGAGAAGAGTAAGATAAGAGGGTTTCCTAATTCCTGGGTGGATTCTGGAGCAACACTGGGCCATCCAGTTGGGACCCACTGCCTTCAGCCTGGGCGCGGTAGCTCACGCCTGTAATCCCAGCACTTTGGGAGGCCAAGACGGGAAGATCGCTTGAGCCCAGAAGTTGGAGGCCAGCCTGGGCAACATAAAGAGACCCTTGCTCTCTGCAAAAAATGGAAAAATGTCTCAGCTACCCAGAAGACTGAGGTGGGAGGATCGCTTGAACCCAGGGGTTCGAGGTTGTCGTGAGCTATGATCTCACTACTGCACTACAGCCTGGGAGGCAGAACGAGACCTCCTCTCTCTCAAAAAACAAAAACAAAAAACCCCACAAAAAAACAGCTCCGACGCCGGCTCCTCCGGGAAGCCTTCCCTGACGACACACACGCGCACGCGCGTGCGCACTACCCAGGGGAGTCAGGCGCCTCTAATGTGAGCCCATAAGACCCAGTGCGCCCTCCATCTCCTCGGCCCCTACGCCTCACGCAAGGAAGGGTCTAGCGGCCGCAATAACCACGCATTGACCGACTGTACTCTAAAGCCCCTTGGAGCAGGGGCTAAAGCCCCGTGTCCGGTCGTGTATGTGGCGATGCACCGAGTCCTTTCCACGGAAGGGAAAGCAGGTGCAAAGAGGCCATCCAACGGAGCGCCTGGAGCTGGGCAGTCAGTCTTGGGAAAGGAGGCCCAGCTGGGCTCGCCTCGCGCGGCTTGGAACAGCGGGCTGGGATTAGCGACCACCGAGGCTCACCCTCCGAGACCTCCGAGCGTCCTAGAGAGGACACGGAAGCGGGTCTTTTCTTACGCACCTGTCTGACAGTGTTCGGAGCTCACTTCCGGTCCGCGGAGGGAACTGGCGTCTCTGGCGGGTGAGAGCCGCGTCGGGGCCACAGAGCGGGGCGGGCGAGGCGATAAACGGGAGCTGGCTGGGCTTTAGTACTGCTGCAGGGGTCTGCTGCGGGCCTCGGCGGCGGCGGGGCTGCTTTAGGCCGCGTCTCTCTCCGCCCAGCCCCAGCTGCGGGCGGCAAGTCTCTTGGGAGCTGCCTTCTGCGGCCCTAGGGCACTGCGGTGTGGACTCGGAGGGGCCACCGCGCTGTAGGCTCAGGTACGAGCGAGGCTGATCCCGCTCGGCCAGGCTTGGCTTAGTGCAGGGCTGGTCACGAACCCGAGGAGATCTTGAACCAAAGCAGAACTCTGAAAAGTGAAAGTAATCACGGAGGACACTTATTTAAGGAATAGCCATGGGCCAGCCTGGTCAACATAGCGAGACCCTGTCTTTACAAATATAAAAAAGTAGCCCGGCGTGGTGGCACGCAGCTGTGGTCCCAGCTACTTGAGAGGCTGAGGCAGGAGGATCAACTGAGCCCAGGAGTTCAAGGCTGCAGTGACTTACATTCATGCCACTACACTCCAGCCTGGGCAACATAGGGAGACGCTGTCTCTACAAAAAAAAAAAAAAAAAAAAAAAATTAGCTGGTCATGGTGGCACTCGCCAGTAGTCCCAGCTACTCGGGAGGCCGAGGTGGGAGAACTGCTTGAGCCCAGGAGGCAAAGGCTGCAGTGAGCCGTGGTCTTACCACTGCACTCCAGCTGGGGTGACAGAACGAGACTGTGTCAAAAAGAAACAAAACAGAAGAATACCAGTGGGTGGGGGAGATAAAGAATAGCAGTGGGGCACCTTCTGTTTGTCAAATGGCAGAGATAAAAGCTGAATGAGGATTTTTCTTGCCTCTAGGGAATCTGTTAGAGAGAGACACATGGGTAAATATTTGCACCATAGTGCGTTAAATACACTAGTGGAGTGAACCAATGCAATAGCTAGAAAGTCATGAAAGGGAGATCTATGTTGCAGAGTCAATGAATAGACTGAAAATATATAATTGGTTTAAGTGGGGGTAGATATGTATACAGACACCCAATAGAATATTTAGCAGAAGCTTGGGGCGTGCCTCCTGGCAGTTGCCTGTTCTCCGCTCCAGTCAGGTGATCTTCGGTTTTTTGACAAGCAGGATCCCCCTTCCCCAACTGCTTTGGACTTCCAAGTCTGTGTTCCCAGCCTAGGTCGCCCCGCTAATCCACTTGGAGGTAAATAGGACTCATTCTCCAGTCTACTTCAAGCCTCTTCTTTTCCTTGAATACTTGGACTTAGATTAATTTTCTCTCTCTTTGACTTCTCATGTTTTTTTGAAATCTACCATGTATTAGATGGCAGTTATCAGCTAGTCTCTTTTTTTTTTCCTTCTGAAAAGTAGGAGGAGTAGTGCTCACCCTACATAATATAGTAGTAAATGAAATATGTGTTCACATGCTTTTTAGATAGTAAAGCCTGTACAAATTAGAAATCTTTTGGTCATTTATAATAATGGTATATATGTTGCTTCGTTGTCTTTTTTAGGTTGAGCACACCATCACATCTAAGCCATCAGCAAGTTTGTTGGTTTTAATGTCCAAAACACGTCTTGATTTTGTCTGACTCTGCCACCACCCTGATCTAAGCCCCTATCTATCATCTCCTCGAATACCTGTAAGTGCCATTTCGATCTTGCAACCTCTTATCCATTCCCTGTTGACACACAGGCAGAATGACTTTTATAAAACTTGTGGTTCCTTGCTAAATTAAGATATAAGAATAAAGCTCATGGCTGGGCGCGGTGGCTCACACCTGTAATCCCAGCACTTTGGGAGGCCGAGGCGGGTGGATCATGAGGTCAAGAGATTGAGACCATCATGGCCAACATGGTGAAACCCCATCTTTACTAAAACTACAAAAATTAGCTGGGCATGGTGGTATGTGCCTATAGTCCCAGCTACTCAGGAGGCTGTGGCAGGAGAATCACTTAAACTTGGGAGACATAGGTTGCAGTGAGCCGAGATTGCCCCACTGCACTCCTGCCTGGTGACAGAGCAAGACTCTGTCTCAAAAAAAAAAAAAAAAAAAAAAAAAAAAGAATAAAGCTCATAATTCTTTCTGTGGCGCAGGCTCTGGGTGATCTGGTTTCTGCCTGCCTCTACCACCTCTTCTGGTACAGCTCTGCCCCTCACTCACTGTGCTGAAGCCACACTGGAATGTAGCTAGTTCTTGGGACACCCAGAGTAATTTCTTAGCCTCAGGGCTTTTGCGTGGAATGCTCTTGGAATGACTGACTTACTCTCATCCTTGAGGCAGCCCAGTATTATGTCTTTAGAAAAGTCTTCAAGTCAGTTGTCCCTCTTTAATAGAACACCGTTCTTACTTGCTTTCTAGAACTTGTCCCCACTTGCAATTTTTAAAGAAGTTGCTTACATTTGACTTTTTCTGTCTGCTATACCAGTGTATGAGTTTCAAGAAGGCAAGCTCCCTTTGTGTCTTATTATCTATTTTATTTTTTGTTTCTGCCTGCTTGGTGTGTGTGTATATGTGTGTATTTGTGTGTTGCATGTATGTTTCCTTTAGTCTTAGAAGAGTAGGCCCCGGTGACTAATGCAATTATAACCCATTATATATTATTCTTTGATTGTAGTGCAGTGAGATCCTATGCTATAAGCAAAATCTTAGACATTTCTGTTTAGTCTTTGTACCTAATAGGTGCTTAGCAAATGATGTTGAATTGACCTGACTTTTGGGATCTGTGTTCAGTCTTTTGAAAATGCCTTGTAAAAGGTGATTACTATGTTCTCCAGTGGAATATTCATTGATGAAGAGACAGAACTGGGATGGACTGACCTTTCACGTGTCTCATGTTCTCAAAAGGGTCATTGATGTGGTCATTCTCAGTTTCCTGCGAGGGAGTGTGACAATGCTGAAAGAGCATCCAGAGATGGCGGAAGCTCCTCAGCAGCAATTGGGTGTTCCTGTGGTGAAACTGGAGAAAGAGTTGCCGTGGGGCAGAGGAAGGGAAGACCCTAGTCCAGAGACTTTTCGGCTGAGGTTTCGGCAGTTCCGCTACCAGGAGGCGGCTGGACCCCAGGAAGCTCTTAGGGAGCTCCAAGAACTCTGTCGTCGGTGGCTGAGGCCGGAACTGCACACCAAGGAGCAGATCCTGGAACTGCTGGTGCTGGAGCAGTTTCTCACCATCCTGCCCCGAGAGTTCTACGCCTGGATCCGGGAGCATGGCCCAGAGAGTGGCAAGGCCCTGGCTGCCATGGTGGAGGACCTGACAGAAAGAGCGCTGGAGGCCAAGGCGGTAGGTGAGGAGGGGATCCAGGTCTGGTGCTGTCAGTGTGGGCAGGGAGTGTTAAAGAATCAAAAGATTTGAGGAAGCAATAGGAGTGGACAAGGTGTGGACCCTCCCTCCTCTGCTCTCAGACTCCCTTTTTGGATAGCAGTGGAGTTTTCAGCAAGAAAAGCCATTCCCAGGGGAGATACTGCGGGTACAGATGGGCCTGAAGCCTCTGTTTGGTCATTAGGGCAGAGGCCTGGCCATATTTCCCTTGTGGGCATCAGGCACAAAGAAGGAAGTTGTGATTGTTTTTGGGGTCCCTCATAGACCTGACCCCACTTTGGACAGAGATGCCTCTGAGAAGGCAGAGAATCCCGCCTGGAGAATATTTTTCCTGAAAAGTTGTCTGTAGCCGTGCTATTTCTATGTCTGGGACATTGGCTCTTAAGGCTCCTGTAACAATTCTCTGGTGCTGTTCTAATGACACCAAGTGACTTGGCACCACACATGCTTCCTTGAGGTTCCAGCCATATTTCTGTCACTCTGTGGCATAGCCCCCGGCTGAATGACTGGGAAGGAGAGCAGGGCTGATGATACGTCCTGTTCATAAGCCCCAGTCATCCTGTAGCGCAGCCTCCCATGCACTCTGTCATCACCCTGACTTCCTGTCTTCAGAGTTCTAAGAGAATTTTTTTCTACTCCCAACTCAGTAGCTTAAAAGTAGACCAGAAAGGCCTTGTTTTTGTGAGTGCTTCTCAGTATGAGAGTCCTCCTGATTTTCCTTGCTTTTTTATTACTTTTGTGACAGGGTCAGCTGACAGTCCAGGCTACAGTGGAGTGGCACAATCCTAGCTCACTGCAGCCTCCAGCTCCCAGCTCAATTGATCCTCCCACCTCAGCCTCCTGAGTAGCTGAGACCACAGGCGTGTACCACCATGCCTGGCTAATTTTTGTATTTTTTGTAGAGCTAGGGTCTTGCCATGTTGCCCAGGTTTCCTGCCTCTCTTTAGAGCAACTGTTTCTCACTAGCCAGTTTACTGCATGCAGGGACTAGGCTTTGCATTTTTTATTTTCACCTTCATTAGGAATTTTTTTTTTTAAGGAGTGAGTATATTGTGCTACAATCCTCTGCAGGATGATATTTGGGCTGGGTGATGTTATTCATGGTGAAATTTGATGATGGGTAGAAGGGACCCTTGTCAAATGGCATGGACAGATTAAAGTTGCTCAGGGCCTGATGCAGGGAGTTTAGCTTCCTTTTCACTTCCCCACTGATGTCCTGGGGAAGACCTCAGCTGATTTTTCCTTTCTCTCCCCTGAAGCTGGAATGGTTCTTTTCTTGGTTCTCTTTTTAGGTTTTAATTCAACTTTCTTCATAACAGCCTTGGCCAGGCCTCATTCTAATCGGTGTTGGGAACTGTTCTTAGGTTCCATGCCACGGGCAGGGAGAGCAGGAGGAAACAGCACTTTGCAGAGGCGCTTGGGAGCCAGGCATCCACCTGGGGCCAGTGGAGGTCAAGCCCGAGTGGGGGATGCCCCCTGGGGAAGGCGTTCAAGGTGCAGACCCAGGTACTGAGGAGCATCTCAGTCAGGACCCTGGAGATGAGACGCGGGTGTTCCAGGAGCAAGGTGAGTAAGACGCAGACAGTGAGGATGTCAGGGCACAGAAAACTGTGCTGTGCAGTCGACCCCCTTCAGAAGCCCAGCAGTGGAGAAACTAAGTTACCCATAAGATATAATTACGAATTTTCTTGGCCTGGACCTTAGGAAACAGATGAAGTGAAATTATTTCTTCTCCCTTCACACTCTGGTTTCTGGAGGTGATATCTGGGATCATGTTCTCTTATTATTTCTCTCTTCTTTCCCTCAGATCCCTTCTAGAAACCACCAGGAAATATTCAGCTGACATGCAGGAAAACTTTTTCAGTGGGCAGAAACCATATCCCCCAAAGTAATACGTGGCTTTGGTTTTTTTTAACTGAATCTCAAAGAGGCTTATTCCCAGAGTGTGACTAGGGAGCATGGGTCATCCTGAAGGGACAGGGCTGGGACAGTCTTGCCAGCTAACAGGGCAGGGGACACCCAGGCCCCAGCTGAGTACAGGACAGGAGACACCCAGGCCCCTGTGTGTGGGAAAGCGTGGCACCAAAGTGAAAAGTGATTCTGTCTAGAGTCTCCTGGTTCCTGAGATTGTGTGCATCGGGTAGGGGACGCCTTTGAATGAGCTGACAGCGTGACACCGCTGATCCTTCTCATCTTTCCTATGCTTTTTGTCCCTGCTCAGCGCTGCCTGTTCTGCAGGCAGGTCCTGGCCTCCCCACAATGAATCCCAGGGACCAAGAGATGGCAGCCGGCTTCTTTACTGCTGGACCGCAGGTGAGCTCTGACTCTTCCTTTCCAGAAATCGTGATGTTGCTTTGATTGAGGTTCACCTTCCCCAAGGTTTCTCTACACAGCAATGTGCCCTCCCCGCCCCCAAGTTGAGTCATTCTCCCTTCCTAGTCCGTGGACCTGATGGTGTGGTGTCCCTCACTGAGCCACCATCCCCAGTTGCTAATTTGCCTTGAACCTTATGTCTGGACCCTGAGCCACAAATGGACTCTTACAACTGTTACAGATAGAAACCCCCTAGGACTACCTGGGCCATGCTGGTTGGCCCTGAGATAACTGTTTATGGTGCCATTTATGGTTACTTCTGCTGCTGCTTTTTCTGTTTTGGAAACTCCCCTGTCCCCTAACCTCAGCAGGAATGTGGCTGACTCAAGGTTGGGGCTTCCAGGAGCATTGAGCAGGGTGATCTCTTTGGCCACACAGGCCACACTGGGAGCTGGACCTCGTTAACATTACGTACCTGCCACAAATGGGATAACTGAAGCATAGATGGGATGCTGTCTCTTCCACAGGGTGCTGAGCACTGTCAGGGAGGTGGGGGCTTTCCAGTGGGGCACTTTCCTCAAGGAGACGAGTCTAAAAGAGTTCCTTGAAGGAGAAAAGGTGTAGTTTGGCAGAAAAAAGGAGGAGATCAAGTCTGGTGCTGCTCAAGCCGTGTTTGGGCAAGGCTGGATGCAGGCATCATCTCCCATTTCAGTTCTCCAGGGACGTGCTTTGGAGGGGATGAGGAATGACATCAGTGCCTTTCAATTTGGTTGGACCCTCCCTTGTACTGTAATAGTTTTTCATAGTGTAGTGAGTGGGAAATTATGGATGCATTTACTTTATAAGCAGCCTTGTTCTTCTTTTTTTTTTTTTAGATGGGGTTTCACCATGTTGGTCAGGCTGGTCTTGAACTCCCGACCTCAGGTGATCTGCCTGCCTTAAGACAAGGCTTGCCCGAATGTGAACTTTGTTCTTGATGAGAAGGTAGATAGCGGCTGGCAGGCTCTGCCAAGCATGAGGTGTGAGTGGAGGTTACTGCAGAGTGGAAATGGGGTGCCTTGGTTGTGGGGCAAGCTAAACCCCAGCTGTAGAGGCTCAAAACTGCAGTGGCTCAAACAAGTGAATTGTTCCCATTAGACTATTGGGAGGAAGCTGGTTCTGCCCTCAGGGCATCTTCAGGCTCTGCTCTTCCTCCTTTCATTGCCTGTGTTCACTCCTGCTTTTAGGCTCTTTGCCTTTAAGATTAGTTTTTTATTTTTTGAGACAGGGTCTTGCTCTGTCACTTATGCTAGAGTGCAGTGGCGCAATCCTGGCTCACTGCAGCCTTGAACTCCCAGGCTGGAGTGATCTTCCTACCTAAGCCTTCTCAGTAGCTGGGGCCATAGGTGTGTGCCACCAGTCCTGGCTAACTTTTATATTTTTTGTAGAGACGGGGTTTTGTCCTGCTGCCCAGGCTGGTCTTGAACTTCTGGCCTCAAGCAATCCTCCCTGCCTTAGCCTCCCAAAATGCTGGGATTATAGATATGAGCCACTGCCTTCGGCCTGGGATTCTTTCTTTATTCATAGCAATGTCCTGTTGTTGCAGGGGTTGGGGCCATTTAAAGATATGGCCCTGGCCTTCCCTGAGGAGGAGTGGAGGCATGTGACCCCAGCCCAGATAGACTGCTTTGGGGAGTACGTGGAACCACAGGACTGCAGGGTCTCTCCAGGTAAGACTGTCTCCACCCACAGGTGAGGAGCTGGGGAGTTCTGAAAGCTCAGGTCAGGGTGCTGCCGTAGCTGTGGCGTACCTGGCAAAGGAAGGGGGAGTTCATGACAGGCTGGTAAATGGGTCCAGCATGGGCCACGGGCACGAGGAGCTGCATTACTATGTCAAGAGAGGAGCTGAACGATGGAGCAGGAAAACATGAGGCCGTTACTCTGGCTATGTGGAGACAGGTAGGTCACAAGGATCCCCAAACACCTACACTGTGTACATGAATAAAGACACTAAGGGCTTGAAAGCAAGATACCAACAGCAAAAGATGGGGCATCTGAGCATGTTCAGATATTTATTGAGTGCTTCCTGCGTGTGGGCCCTGTGTTAGTGGCTTTCTCTTGGGGCAGGAAGTAGGCAGGACTAATGTGCGCAAAAGCATCGGCGCTCACAGTGTGCGCGTAGGAGGGCGTGAGGGGGCTTCATGACGGGAGAGGCTGGAGTGGCCCAAGTCACAGAGGAAGCAGAGCTGTGCTGGGCCTCAGGTGGTGGCTGGCTTTGACCTGGGCTCAGAGCCTGTGGGGATGCGGCAGTCGTGTGTGACATCAGCTCATGGGAGGAGGATCAGCGAGAGAGAGCCCATAGGGGCTGCCAGTGGAACGCACTGCAGGGCTTTGTGGGTACCAGGGTGAAGGGCAGTGTGAAGAATCTGTGTGGGTGGAATGAGGACACTGGCGGGGAGAGGAAACACTGTGGCTGGAATCGCCCTCTCCTTGTTCTCTGATTTTCTTCTTTTTTGTCTCATAACTTCTTTGTGAGTTGTGCACTGACCACCCATCTGTACTGACCCCACCTGGCCTTTCCTTATCCTGAAATGCTTTGAAGATGAGCGAGAGTGCTCATCCCTGTGCTTCCTTCAGGACGTAAGACAATCCTTTCTGGCTCTCTACCACTCGCTGACCCTGACTTTGAGCATCTCCCTTGACCTTTTGGTTTCCATTTGGTTTCCTCCCTCTCCATTTGGTTTCCTCTGCTGTGCAATGTGACTGTTCATAGAACCTGTCCTCATGGTGCTGTGAGGATGAAGGGAGGTGATAAATCTAAATGTGTGCTGACCACGGTAGTGTTAGATCATTTAGTTAGTGGTATAAATATTTCTAAGGGATTCTTGTATGAACCATCAGCCTTCACTCATTTATTCACCACAGAGGTGCACTTGGCACCCGCTGTGTGGCCATTGCTGTTCTGGTCACTATGAAGAGTTAAAAATAAATGCGCTTACCTGTGGGGTCTTAGAGTTCAGGGGAAGAGGTCAAGTGGATGTAACAGTGGGATAGGGCAGGGGGCACTGGGCTCCTGGGATACCTGGGTCCAGGTCACAGTTGACACAGCATGACAGTGATGTGAGTGGCAGAAAGAAGCCAGCATATTTTACATGGAGATGTGTGATTGCTGTAATGGCAGAGGATGACAGAACAAAGCAGAGGCTCAAGTGATGAGCCCCAGACAAAGGTAGCAATGTCCTGGTGCCAGAGTCCCCCTCAGGGTTGTTCCCCTGCTAGTAATGCTGCTGTATGGGGTGAAGATTCCTCCCTGCCCCCCATTCCAGAGGGTTTTTATGCCCTCCTGACCATTTCTGACCGTTCTGGAGACTCTGGTTCTGTCCTTGTCCCCTCACCAGCTCAGTGTCTCAGAACCCACAGCAACTCAAGCCCATACCTGAACATGTCTGCCAAAGCCAGGTGACATGAAGGCCTGTTTCCCGAGTGTACTATACACTCGCTGTCCAGCTTTTAGGCCTTCTGGGATTCGCACTCGGGTTGTCCTAGTGCTTGTACTGACAGCTGCGTGGGGTCTGGGCCTGAAAAGGCTGGATGCACAGGGCAGGGTTGGGCTAGGTGGTTGCTCAGATCACTTCCAGTTTTTTGTCTGTTCTCATTAGCGAACGATGAAGTGCAGACCTTGTCATCTGGGTTGTAATTGCAGTAATGGTCACAAGAACTGGAGTAGGAACTCAGAAGATGATTTGGAATCACGGAGTCAAAAAGTAGCAGGTGCAGAAACCTGAATGCAGGACTCTACAGGCAGATTCCCAGGATGGCGAGGGTCCTGGAGTGAAAGATCAGTGCTCAGAGGAGTAAGGAGGAGGTAGGAGTGAGCAGAGTGAGGCTGGCCATGAGGACTCTGGCTCCTTGTTTTAAAATTTTTTCTGCACAGAGTAACATGATGGAAGTTTTACTTGAGGAAAATTGGATTGACAGCAGGATACGGCCAGTCTGGACTGTAGCCCTTGTTTTAAATTTTTTTTCTACACAGAGTAACGTGATGGAAATTTTACTTGAGGAAAATTGGATTGATGGTAGGCTATAGCCAGCCTGGAGGGTTGAAATCATGTAGGCACCAGGGTGAGAGCAGGAACCAGGCCAATGGCCATGAAGAAGGGGGTTTACTGAAACATGCTTCCAAGGAATGGCCACAGATTGGCCAGAGGAGAGGAAAGAGAAGAGTCAGAAAGGAGTCTCTGTCTAGGATCCTGGCCAAGAGACTGGAAAAGTTACGTTGCTACTGTCAGAAAGGGAGGGAAGCATTTTCCTAAGGGGGAGGGAGAATGGAAAATTCCATTTGTTGACTTTGAGATCTAAGTGGGCAGTCCCTGGAAGTAGCTGTAAGTCAGGTACATGGTCTGGGGGTTAAAATAATATCACCAGCCATTGCATTCCTCCATGTGTGCAGCAAACTTCATGAGTGTACAAATGATTTTGAAGGTAAAGAATGTAAGGCTCAGAGAGGTTAATTGATTTTCCTGTGATCACACAGCAATTGAGCAGCCAGTACAGCAATTGGGCAGCCAGTGTAGCACTCAGAACCAGGTTTCTCACTGCTAGGTCCCTTCTCTTCCACTATTGCGTCTTTCTCCCAGTGTCTGTATTTACGCTTAGATATCTCATTGTATTTATTTTTCCCCCAGTTTTATATTTTGAACTCTTACTATACAAATTTTCAAACATACACAATAGCTAAGACTAGTACAGGGAACACACTTATGCCTTTATCTAGATTCACCAATTGTTAACATTTGCCATATTTATCTGTATAATGTGTGTTTTTTTGAAATGATCTGGAAGTTGGAAGCATCTCAATCATAAATACTTCAGCGTATGCCTAACGATGACATTCCCAACATAGTCCGGTAGCGTAATTCCATATAAGAAAATAAACACAAATTCCATATATGTAACATCTAGTGCATAGTCAGATTTTCCTAGGATCTAGTTGTGGTTTGTGCATTGTATTTAGTTTTCCTTTTACTATTCATAACACCTCAAAACTGAAAACTACCCAAATGAACATCAGTCAAATTAATCCCTACTTATTAATTTGCAAAATATATATTGTAACCTATATGTATTGTAATATATATATTGCAACCTATATATATATTGCAGTATATATTACAACCTATATATATATAGTAACCTACTTATTGTACTATATAACATACATATACACATATATACACATACATATACAGTGGGATACTATACACCAATGAAAAAGAATAAGCTGCAGCTTTAGATCATGACATAGGGGAATGTCACAAACATATTGAGTAGAAGAGGCCAGAAACAATGTGTGAGACAGTTACATGAAATTCAAGAACAGGTTAAAAAAAAAAAAAAAAAGTCTGGACAGTGTGTTCTCTTTAGGAGGCCGGGTATAGTAATGGAGGAGATGAAAAAGTGGGCTTCTAGGGGCTGGTTGTGTTTTGTTTGTTGAACTGAATGCTGTTTACATGGTTGGGTTCATTTAGAAAATTCTTTGCACAGGGTGTGGTGACTCACACCTGTAATCCCAGCACTCAGGGAGGCAGAGGCAGGAGGGTCACTTGAGCCCAATAATTCGAGACCAGCCTGGGCAACATAGTGAGACCCCCATCTTCACAAAAAGGAAAAAAAGGGTAACTTGAAATTTTTTAGCCAGCGCTGTATCCAAAAGAATAAAAATAAAATTCTTTGGTTGTACAAAACATAAATGGTTTGTAAACTTTTACTTTCTTGAAAAGTTTACAGAACAACAAAAAAAATCCAAGCTGATATGTATTTCATATTTTATCAAACAAGGAGGCATATAATGTCAGTTTTTTTGTCTTCTAATCACCTTGCCTAAAAGGACTCTTTTCCCCTTTAAGTGCCACTTATTTCTCCCTTTCTTTTTTTTCTTTTGGCCTCTTTGTTCCCCAGTACCTTTTCTTTTATTTTTTTCTCCTCCCCTTCCTCTTACTCTTGTATAAGCACCTGTACCATTAATCTAGAGTGATAAGAAGGATTGGAGTGAGGATGAAGGGTGAGGCTGAGCATTTCAGCAGCAGCATGGTCTCAGTCCTGATAAATGTGCTACCTAGGGGCATTCTCCTGCAGGAATCTCGGTGAAGCCTGCTTCATTCATTCAGCCAGTGGTTAGCAAGCATCTTCCCAGAGTCAGTCCCCTGCCAGCCTCCTAGGAGACCCAGTTGAATAAACCTGATTAGGCAGATGGAGCATGTGGGCAGGACAGAGGGCTGAGCAGGCACCTGGAAGGTCTAGAGAGATTCATGCTGACCCTTGCTACAGCAGGCGTGGAATCGTTCAGAGAAGGCACAGGACATCTGGATGATTGGGGACAGCATTTAAGGTGGCATGTAAATAGGTACCGAATAATCAAGTAGGTGCACAGTGCTGAAGAGGCCCAGAGTAAGAAAATAATCATGGTGAGTGTCTTTAAGGAAATTTATTGAGCTACATTTTGAAGGAAGTAAGAGTCTAGATTAGCAGCAAGATAAGTGGGTGGCACTGGAGTTTGACAGACTCTTCTGTAAAAAGACATGGAGATGGAAAGAAGTCAGGACAGCTTGAGTTGAGGTTGTTGGTCGAAGGAAACAGAAAAGGAACTGTCAACAGGACCCCTGTGAAGCAGAGTTCTAACATGTAAATGGCTACCACAGAATCAATCCTTATCTCCTCCTATCCTGTAGGC